CCTTATATCTCCGATGTTTGGGGATTCAAAAAAATGCATGTACATCATCAGTAGGGTTTTATCCAAAAGCATACGACCATAGATTTTGCGTTTTCGCTTCATCATCCTCCCTCAAAGAGTTTAAGTAAGAAAGTTGGTATTGAAATGCACATAAATATATATATGAGTGGACACGGATGAATTACTTCAAGAGAAACATACTCATTGCATTAAGATCATCATTAAAAAACAAACAAGTTTTTACATGCAAATAGAGCATTAACAAACAATGAAAAATACAAATAAAAAATGTTGTAAAGAAAATAAAAATGCCATGGCCAAGAAAGCCTGAATTCGCTTGGGCTGATTGATTATGATGATGTCCTTGCAATCTCAAGTGCTCACTTGCAAGACTTCAACTAATGCGTAAACCTTTGTTGTTTTTTCATGGGAGCCTGTCTGTTGTTGATACCGATTAGGGCATTCCTTTCGTTCAGGCACTTTCACCCTAATACTTGGTCCAAGAACATGCAATGGTTGTGGACGTGGAAATTCTGAAACCAAAGACTATAAGATACGCTCTTGACCTAATGCAATTTCAGGGGAGAAAACAGGAATATCCGCTTCTTTCATAACAACTGGAATAAGACCACCTTGTACGCTTAAACCTCCCGACGTGAACCTGACTGTCTTTGAATCGATTAAGTCTTGAACTTTGTGCTTAAAGGCCTTGCATTTCTCCACATTATGCCCCGATGCCCCAAAATGGAAATCACAATGGGCACTTGCATCATAGCCTGGTGGTGGCTTACCAGTAAATGGAGGCAGAATCCAAAGTCCAACCAATTGAAGTTGAAGCAAACATTGCAGCAACTGAGCATAAGTCATAGGGAGTTGGTCGAAGATTCTATCGGGCTGCTTCGGACTCTATGCGTACTTTTTAATCTTAAGATTGTCCTGGGAAATAGGAGACAACTGCTGACGGGGAGATTCTGCAACCCCAAGTCGTGTAAAAGATCTACGAGACTGTTTTCCGTGAAAATTGGAAAACGACCGTTGATCTTCCAAATATAACTTTAGTGACTCACAGGATCGATCAAATTGATCCTAGGACATGTGCTAAATATTATTTCAAAGAGAATTCTAAAAATTGAGCACTTCGACAGTGTTCATAAATAAAATTTTACATTAAGAGTATGGTTCGATAGAAACATAAAGGCATTACGATGATGCATCCTCTCCTAGATATTGATTGAGCTTTCTCCCTTGTTATTCAACAAGAAAGAGAACTCAATCATGTTACACTATTAGATTTATCTTCAGATGATGCTCTTGTTTTTGTTGTTTCCTCACAAGCCAATGCCACTTAATTCAATGGCGACAATAAGTATTGGAATCCAAATTACAAAGTCAAAAACCCTTCCTCTAAACATAATCGTATGTGCATTCATTATGGGTGAACCAATCATACCATTTAAAAACTATTTTGTAAAAAATGGTTATGCACTGGGTTTCAAGAACAAGCTAAGGACAAATCGTTCTGCCAATAGTATTTTTGATAATCTTTATGGCAATTCAGCAACTACTGGGTTTGGTTTCACGCAGGAGCAGTACAATAACATCTTTGAGCTTCTTCAATAGTCAATAATCACTCCCTTCACCAACTTTATCTTCAGCACACCCCTTGTCATAACCACCAACTCTGCTTCAATTGCTGGTAAGAATTTTATTCCTTGGATCCTTAATGTCAGTGCCACAAACCATATTACATATCACTTTGCCCTTTGATCACACATCATTCTATTAAACCAATTCCTGTCACACTTTCTAATGGAACACACATTAATGCCTGTATAGCTGGTAGCATTGCCCTTTCCCCATCCCTTATTATTCACAATGTCCTTCACATTCTCACCTTTATTGTCAATCTTGTATCTCTAGCCCAACTTATTAATGAACATGATTATCATTTTTTTTGCTAATACATGCCATATCCTGTAGAACAACTCAAGAAAATGATTGGTTTAGCTAATCTCCAAAAGGGCCTTTACATACTTGACTCGTTTATCTATCCTTCTACTTGTAATTTTATTGATACTAACTCATATGAACTTTGGAATTCAAGGTTAGGACATCTCTCTGATATAGGTTTAAAAGTTGTTTATAAATTCTTTCCTTTCATTTCTTGTAAGCCTACTTTGGCACCACGTGATTCTTGTCACAATGCTAAGGAAAAACACCTTTATTTTTCTTCTAGTACTATACATACTACTACTTCTTTTCAATTGTTACATGGTGATTTATGGGATCCCTACTCCACTGTATCTCTCTTAGGACAAATATTTTTTTAACCTTAGTTGATGATTTTACAAGATATACTTGGGTTATTTTCTTAAAAATAAGGACCAAACTAAACTTAGCATTACTAATTTTGTTACATACATTGAAAACCAATTTCATACTACACTTAAATGCTTGAGATCTGCATCACCTGTTGTTTATGTGTCTTGTTGTTGCCATGATTTGGAATTCAATTTCATATTGGTATGGTGTCGAGGCCACTTTTCGTGGGTGTTTGTGGGAGTTCCTTTTGGATTTGTGTGGCAGAGCCTCTTTTAGTTTGGGTAGCATTAAGTTGGGATCGATTTGGCTGGCGGTAACTTGGATTCTTTAGAAGACTAGAAACGAAATTATTTTTAAAGATGGTAGATGTTGTGTTAACGATATAGTTTGGAATATTAAGTTTGTAGTTTGATTTTGGTCTTGTAATGGGGAAATTCTCTATCCCAACTCAAACTTGTTTGCCTTATGTTCTGACCCTGTTAATTGATTAAGGTAGTTTGAGTTTGGTTGTGAGTTTTCTCTTATTACTTGTATTGTTTTGGTTGTATCGGGTTTGAATACCCCTTATATTCGTTATTAATTCCATTTGCTTTTAGAAAAAAAAGAATTACACTAGATTCATTACTCTAGAATCTCAATATTAATCTGTGAATCTCTCTAATTTAAAATTAAATAATTATTTAACTAATAAATTTATACTATTTATTTGTTAAGTATTCTTTTTAGAAATATTTTAATACTATAAAATCATATAATTTTTCAATAAAGAAATCTCGATAATGATTTTATAAAAATCTATTAGAATTAACTTCAAATTTTAATATATTTTTTTAAATTACAAAAAGAGGTGTGACAAGTATAAAAATATTTAAATAATATTTTAATGAGAATCTATTAAAAATATTTTTTATTTCAAGAATTTTAAATAAATATTTTTTTTTATCTTTATTATATATATATTGGTATCAAGGAACAAAATCAAGTGGTCATGTGAAGGAAGTTACTTTATAGCAACATTGTGAGACTTAGAGCTATGTGTACTCTTTGGGTGGCTTGTTAAGATAGGCTTGCAACCAAGGACAAGTTGAACATATTTGGATTGCTGGAAGATGACTGTTGTTGTTTTTGTAGGAAAAAGGAAATAATTCAACAGCTGCTTTTCTCTTGCTCGAAAACTAAGGAAATTTGGAAATATGTTCTGGCTTGGCTACAAATTAATCACAAGCCTCTTAAGGTGGATTGTTGAGCAATAGCAAAGGTAAAGGTTGGCGAGCAGCCACTCTAAAGTGCGCCAATGTTGAAACTGTTTATGCAGTTTGGAAATTCAAGAATGCAATTTGTTTTGGTAACTATATTTGCACTGGTATAACAGGCTCTTTATAGGAATTGGCTAAAGCATAAGCTGAGACATCATGTTAGTATGTTAATGATCTTCTTGACCGACCGCCTTGCTTGTAATGTTTTTGGATTTAGTAATATACTTGCTATGAAAAATGATTTAAATATTATATCTTTTTAATAAACCTTTTATAAAAATTAATATTTCAAATAATAATTTAAATTAAAATTTCAAATATAAATAATAATATCTACAGTGAAAATATAAATATTATCAAGAGATGATGAATCAAGTCAATAATAGAGTTTAAATAATTTTAATTTATTTTCTTAATAAATCTAAAAAAATATTGAGAAATCATTTTTTGTACCTTTTTTAATATGATATTTATTACATTTAATATATATTTTTTAATATAAATACGCTTTTCTTGAAAAAAAATTTAAAAATAAAAATAGAATTACATATATTTATTTGTTATAGATGTTTTAAAAATAGCATTTAATATTGGTAAAGAAAAATTACTTTTAAAAAACTTCAAATAAAAAGTTTATTTAAATAAATTATCGTTAAAACGTGATTTGAATATTTTTATCTTTTTATCACGCCACTTTTTAATTTTTTTTATAAATTTAATTAATACGTACTGACCGTATTTTTTTTTTACATTATCAATTAATTATAACCTTTAATTTATTTAAAATGTTTGACTTTTATTTTAATTACTTGAAAGAAATATAAATGGATGGTTGTGATATATTGACAAATGTAAAATTTTTTACAGTAACAATGCATAACAATTAATTAATTTTTTAAATGTTACGTGATTTTATACTCCCAAACAAATAGTAATTTTATTGTATTAAAATATTTTAAAAAAGAATATTTAACAAATAAATAATATAAATGTAATTTTGAAAAAATTATGTAACTTTATTAAAGAGATTAATATTGAAATTTAAAAATAATGAATTGAGTGTAATCCTTGGTCACATGTTTATTTTAAGTAAGATGAAATCTACATAGGTCTTTTATTAATTAAATAAATTATTATTTTCAAATATACTATACTATTTATTTTAAAATATGAAAAGTTATAATTATATAAATATATATATTTTAAAATGTATGTATAAAATAGACAAATGAATTTCACAATCAACTTGTTAGAGGGTTTATAACAAAGTAGAAGGAAACCTTATTTCTAAATTAGAAATGAAATTCTGTTTTCACTCTTAAAACTCTTCCAACTTCATCACCACTTTCCACGTAAATAAAATGCCAACACCTCAAAAACCTCTCCTTGACTCTTAACCTTCTCTGCAAATTCGAAGCAACGATGAAGAGACCGAGAACGGGAAAGGTTGATTCCTTCTTCTTCTCGCTCTGTAGACAACGATCCTTTCAAATTCTCTTCGTCATCGCTCTTTTCTACGTTCTCTTGTTCACTCTCGAAATCCCCTTCATTTTCAAAAACACCGCCACGCGCTTCGAGAGGTACGCGCTCGAGCAACAGCAACAGCTTCAACCGAGTCAGTCTCAGCCCCACCAAATCACTCGCCGCCGTAATCGCCGTTCAATTCTCTCCGGATTGATACTAAACGACACCGCATTTGATTCCGAGGTTTATCATTCCGCGTACCGCGCTGGGAGAAGGGTTTGGGAGGAACTTGAATCGGCGAAAACGCCGATTCAAACCGGCGCCGTTTTGAAACCGGAGAATAAGTCACGGCCATGTCCGCAATCGGTTTATGTTTCCGGGGTTGATTTTGTGGGGAATGGGAGTTTGATGACGATTCCTTGTGGGTTGACGTTAGGGTCGCATGTGACGCTGGTTGGGATGCCGTTGGGAACACCGGAGGGTAAGATTTCTCACTTTATTGTGGAGTTGCAGGGTTTGAAAACTGGTGAAGGTGAGGACCCACCTAGGATATTGCATTTCAATCCTAGGTTGAAAGGGGATTGGAGTAACAAGCCTGTGATTGAGCTTAATACTTGTTATAGGATGCAGTGGGGTACTTCTTTGAGATGTGATGGTTGGAAATCTAGGGCTGATCAAGATACTGGTAATAGTTGGTTACTAACTTTGTATTATAACTTTATGTGCATGCATTTGTGATCAATGTTCAATTTTATGCTGATTGAGTATATTGATGTATACTAAAGTATATATGTTGGTTACTAGTTACTGTTACTAGTTTTGGCATGAAGTAGTAAAAAGTAGTGTTTGAGTTGGCTTGAAGATTTGACATTAGGTTTTATATTGAGTTTGGTTTTAGACTAAAATCATTCAAACATGTTGTTCCACTTTAAACTCAGTTATAACTAGAAAAAACTATGTAAAGAACCATGTAATTTGGCTCAAATGATTAAAGAGTTCCGCTTAAGGATGAATTGTCCGGGACAATCGGAGTTTGAATCCAGGCTGAACAATTCTTGGTTAGATTTTATGCAGCTCCCGCCCGACCTAACTTTGGATTACCTGGGCCCCATTCCCTGCGAACAAGAGGGTTAAGACTAAAAAAAAACCTTAATTACAACTATGTCAATTATACAAAATGAGTATTTGAGTTTGATTATGAGAGTGTTTCCACCACACGATGGCAGTGAGCTTCCAAGTTGTGGATTTGGGGTTTACTGTTTGTTCAAATGTCAACTGACAGTGAACTTCCAAGTTGTGGATTTGTGGATTTCTGCTTTGATTTTGCATTTGAATGATTGATGTACTGAATAGATGAAATGATGTTACTATTACTATGTGGGTATATGGCATAGATAACTGTTGTTATGAAATTGTGCCCTAGTTCGGTTCATTCTTGATGTATTGTTTATCCATTGTAATTGTGATGGCTCTAAATTGAGTTGTTAAGTTTATGTTTGAAACAGTTGACGGGCTGGTGAAGTGTGAGAAGTGGATTGGGGGAGAATCCGGAGATGATAGAGATGCAGTGGAGTCTAAATCAGAATGGTGGCTGAAGAGACTTATAGGTCGAACAAAAAGAGTAACAGTTGATTGGCCATTCCCATTTAATGAGAACAAGCTATTTGTTCTCACTCTTAGTGCTGGATTGGAGGGCTACCATTTTAATGTTGATGGGAGGCATGTGGCCTCCTTTCCATATCGCACTGTGAGTAATGAATGCCATTCAACTTGCCAACCTGAAGTTGGATTTCTATCATTTCTTAATTTTGCATTTTGATTTATGCAGGGCTTTACTCTTGAGGATGCTACTGGACTCGCTGTAGCCGGAGATATTGATGTCCATTCTATATTTGCTGCCTCCTTGCCTTCAATGCATCCTCACATTTCTCCACAGCAGTATCTTGAATTTTCAACCAGATGGCGTGCCCCACCACTACCTGAGTTTGGGGTGGAATTGTTCATCGGCATCCTATCAGCTGGAAACCATTTCGCTGAGCGGATGGCTGTGAGAAAGTCGTGGATGCAGCATAGCCTTATCAAATCTTCAGAAGTGGTGGCTCGTTTCTTTGTAGCACTGGTATGCTGACAAGACGACACACCCTTTTTACTTAGTTATTTCTTTTCTTCTGATGTTAGTAACATGTTAATCTTTTTACAGCACCAGAGAATAGAAATTAATGCAGAGTTGAAAAAGGAAGCAGAATTTTTTGGAGATATTGTTATTGTGCCTTACATGGATAACTATGACCTTGTTGTGTTGAAAACAGTGGCTATATGTGAATATGGGGTAAGTTGCTGTTTGTTTTTAATTCACAGTTTGAAAAATGAAAATTTTCAAGAGGATAGATAAGATGCGCTACATTGTTTGTAGGTTCATATAGCGGCTGCAGCTTACATCATGAAAGGTGACGATGACACATTTGTGAGGGTGGATGCTGTTATAAATGAAGCACGGAATGTTCCAGATTCTATGAGCTCTTATATTGGGAATATAAATTATCACCACAAACCCTTGCGCCATGGTAAATGGGCTGTGACGTATGAGGTAATCAGAATCTGCTGCAATGTTTTTTCATAGCATTTCACTTAATACTGGTGGTAATTTTTGTGTGCGAATATTGATTTCCATTGTCTGCCTTCTGTTTTCAGGAGTGGCCAGAAGAGGATTACCCACCATATGCTAATGGCCCGGGTTATATTCTGTCTTATGATATTGCACACTACATAGTTTCTGAATTTGAGAAGCATAAATTAAGGGTTAGTGTAAAACATCACTGTACAATTTCCATGTTGCCTTGTTATTTGATCAAGTATCTCCATGCCGGTGATATGACATCCATTATGACTGAAGTTGTTCTATTTTTTCTTCTTAATGCAGTTGTTTAAAATGGAAGATGTGAGCATGGGAATGTGGGTGGAGAAATTTAACAGCACAAAACAAGTGTACTATTCGCATAGTTTAAAGTTCTGCCAGTTTGGGTGTATTGAAGGCTATTACACAGCCCATTACCAATCTCCAAGACAGATGATGTGCCTTTGGGAAAAATTGCAGCGGCAAACAAGTCCTCTATGCTGCAACATGAGATAACAAAGTGGTGTATTAGATAGACTCCATCTTTGAGTACCCATAGGGACAACAAAAACAAGTTTTGCAGTCATAGGTTAGCTTTGAATATTTGTAAATACAGCGGAGCTTAGATAGAAACTTTAGCACTGTATAAATGGCCTTTTAAATTCCATTATTTATAAATTCTTTTGATAAGAAAATTTCATTACTCTTTGTTATTAACGTAGTTATCTCATATGTGGTCATTGTGGATATAGGAAGCTGCGAAAGTCCTGCTTTGAAAAATGTTATTAGGACGCTTTATAATGTAATATTTTCATCACAGTATTACTGGTTCCAGTCTATTACAAGAGGGAATATGAACTAAATAATCTAGTCAAAATCCCGCAAAGTTGCAACCTTTTTTATTCTGAAAGTTTCAAATTGCAGGTAGGGGGAGTTGGGGTTTTGGTTTGGATTTCTTAATCAAAATTTTCAAGTTTCATTATCTTCTATGGTACACATCATGGGGTGCTAGTTCGCCACTATGAAAAGTAAAAAAAAGTCTAACTTTCAGATATGTCTCCAGACAGTCAATACTTTTTGTAAGTGAGCATCCATTTTGCTTAAAAATGTGTTTCGAGATGTATCTTTGTGTCTCCAGATGCATTCATATTACACAGTCAATACTTTTTGTAAGTGAGCATCCATTTTGCTTAAAAATGTGTTTCGAGATGTATCTTTGTGTCTTCAAATGCATTCATATTACACCGTCAACACTTTTTGTAAGTGAGCATCCATTTTGCTTAAAAATGTGTTTCGAAATGTATCTTCGTATTCATGTTAGGGTGAATCTACATTTGCATCTTAGCAATAATTTTTATGAATTTACAAATAACTTTTATTTTAAAACTCAGTGAATTTTATGGAGATGCATCTTCTTATGGGTTTAAATTTATATATTTTGCGTTAATAAAATCATTGAGGATCTTGTATGTAGCAGTTGAGTATTTACATCAACAAAATGAATTGTCACTTAATCTATGTGTAGGCACATAGGCTAATGCAATGTGATTATTAGTGTTCAGATTGATGATAGTTTATTGTGTCAAAACAATTGTACATTTCTAATTTAAACAAATAGTGGAAGACATGATTATTCTTCTAATTTAAACCATCGAAGACTCGAGTAGATGCCACCAAGGACGATAGTACCGAATGAGTATATATCTCTATGTACTCTCCTTCTTCCTCGTCACTTTTTAATTTTCTGCATTCATTATGTAAATGTTATATCATAACATAGTTTGTATGTCATCTAGGTTAGATCATGCTTATTGTGGTTTATCATGTAAGCATAAATATGTGTTGTATCAAATCAATTGAATTGTCTTTAAGTTGATTGTGGTAAAAAGGAAGTCTATGTTTGAATATTAAATTGCTTAGATCAAGCAACTTTAATTAAGTTATTTTGTTTTTGTCCTTGAAATGATCATGTTTTTAGTTACACCATTGAAATATATCAATTAAAAATCATCTTGATGAGCTTCTAAGCTTTCATCTTCTTTTGTTTTTGCTTCGGCCCATTATACTCTGACTTTATGATTAAAAATTTTGAAATTATTTTTAAAGGAAAATGTCTATTCACACTCCCCTTCTAGACATTTTCACATTTATATTCCCAACCAACAAGATAGATATGGATACATAAGTTGAGACTCACAAAAATCAACCATCCAAAGTATCAGGATATCACCTACAAGGGTTGTGTCTGACGGTGCTCATCGTATAGATATCATCAGACACAATGCCATCAAGTGCAATTCGGACGGACTCGGTCGCCTAATTATCCGTGAGTGAGAAAATGCAGTAGGCACGTGGCGATTCCTCATAATAGTCTTCAACATATTTCTAAGTGGAGCGACATTGAAAATGCTAGTGGATCCATGCCTGAAAATGGTTCCAATGAAATATTATTAGCAATGTAGCATGCATATTATGAAATTAATATCAATAAGCGTGATTTTTTTTATTCCGTAAATAGACAATTATTTCCTGTAAATTCTCTTGTCTTCCATTGATTGGCTTAAGCTAACTTAGAGTAGAGGTACACCAAATAAGGTACCCCTTAGTTGTAGTTGTGAATCCTTTCTAAGTTAATGAAGTATTTAATTCAAAAAACTATGAAGTTAACTGCAACCCGTGCACTATCATCTGCAACACCTACAATTGTATTCACATATTCAATATAAGGTTTCATGAGGAAATAAGAACTGACACCACATTCTCTAGTGTCACCTATCTCTTGTTGGGAATAATTGTATACTGATTTTAAAGTAATTTAATAATATTCTTGTAATTGGAAGATGTAAGAGGTATGGCACATCATCTAGTGCGATTTCTATCACATCGATCAGAAGATGAAATGACGATGTCTCTCTGTCTTATCTCTCAACAAATGCACACAATAAACCATGATTAATATAATCATATTCAGTTTTGCAGAAATCCTTCAACGCAGATAGCTGCAAGACATCCTAAAACTATGGTTCATCAGGTTGCGATAATTCTACTACATTTCTACCATGGTTGATACATTTCAACATCTTACAATATTGCAAAAATAAATACATAATCGCCACACAGTTCAATTGATATAACACATATGTTTAACATAGACATTTCAATTATTTATGTTACCTCTCCCTCCCATGTGTGCCTAGCAGTATGATGTGCATATAGAGGAAGTAGTGAAAGGTCCAAGGGGTCTCCCGAAAAACTATCAGGCACAACAATATAAAGTTCAACATCATGTACAACATGCACTAGAGAAACTTGGGCTTCGTAATAAGATGGTAATACGTGAACCCGACAAGACGATCCTTCAACAACAAACGACGATTCTCCAACCGCTGTTCACGAGGGTCTAGCTTTCTCTATACACATTAAAGCATGTTGGATCACTCTACCATGTCTCAATATTTGTTAATTTTAGCTATTTTTCCTATAATCAAACAAGAAAATTCATATTATAACCAAAAAAGAGAAAACTATGTGTTAGCAAACCAAATTTTAAAATAGGACACAAAACAGAGAAGTTTGGATTTTATTATCCGGACTAAAGGTTCAGATTTCAAAATCCAGACCGCACAAAATTAAAAAGAGATAATACATAATGAACCCTAAGCTCAAAATTTCAAACCAAATCTAATTATAACAAAACAAATACAACATCTTTATTGCATGTAATCCAATATAGCACAATTATAACCTATTTAAAAAATGTAAGCATCTCAAATAAAAAATTAAGGAATTGAGAAACATAAATGTGAGAGATGGATCATCTTGGATTGAACGTAGAAGATTAAAACTTGACAAATGTGCTAAGCTTGAATGTAGTGGAGTAAAAGTTGTGAGAAACATTGAAAAATGTTGTTACAGGAGTAGGCAGTGGTGAACTTTGTTTTCACTTGTGTTCAAATTTGATAAAACGAAAGAGACAAAGAGTGGAAGTTCTGCATGTGAATATTTAAATGAAAACGTCTGAATTTCAATCTACGTAAGTTTAATCCGAAGTTTAAAATCCAGAGTAATTCTTTAACATTTTTTCGTAGTACTACGTTTGGATTTTGGTATGGTATGTTAAGGCTGTTGAGTTTATAATTCCTTGTGTAGAAGCAGTGTAGCTCGAAAGAAATAAAGTCTAGTTTAATTGTCCTAATGTGTATGTGTTGAGTTGTATTAATGTGTCAAAGTGTCAAAGCAGGTAGCTTCACATAGGATTTTGACTTAGGCCTATTTTAGTAATGTTAGCTATTTTGGGCTTTTATAGTTTTGGGTTTCGCCTTGGGATACAAGCTAACCTAAATCTATAAATAGGGAGTAACTCTTATTTTGAACACAACTCATAATATTGTATTCACAGTTTTCTTAATTTTTTCATTGTCATTATGTGATTAATAACAATCTTGTTCATTAATATTGAGTGAAATTCTCCATAGGTTGTGGTTGAATTCCAACATTTGGTATCTAAAGCTCCGGTTGCGATTCAAAGAAGCAAAATTGTGATGGCGATGAATCATCCAAGCGGGAACTTTTCGGTGAATCTTCTAATTCTCAAAAAAGATAATTATGAGAATTGGTGCAAGCAGATTAAGGTGGTTTTCTATTATCAGGATCTTTGGGATCTTGTGGAGGAGGGAGTAATACCGCTTGTAGAAAACGCGACGGATCAAGAAAAGGCTGCACACAAAAAATTGAAGAAGAAAGATTATAAAGCTCTTTTTATAATCCATCAATGTGTTGATCCATATAATTTTGAAAAGGTTAGTGATGTAGAATCAGCAAAAGAAGCGTGGGAAATGCTGGAGAAGTCGTCTGGAGGAGAAGAGAAGGTGAAAAAGGTGAAGTTACAAACCCACAAGAGAACCTATGAATTGCTTCAGATAGAAGAAAGTGAAAGTATAAGAGACTTCTTCACTAGGGTTACTAAACTGGTGAATCAAATCAAGGTATGTGGAGAAGTGTTGACATCAAGGCCAGTTGTTGCAAAGATCTTGATGTCATTGGCTCCAAAGTTTTACCACATGGTAGTAGCCATAGAAGTGTCGAAAGACATGTTAGTATTGATGAAGGAAGAGCTTCAAGGGACGCCTGAGTCTCATGAACAAAGGATGGCTGAAAGAGCTGCAGGAAAGTCGAAGAGTGATATGACTTTGCAAGCGCAGTCAAAAAAGGAAAAGAAAAGCAAAGGAAGTTGGAGTAACAACAAAGGTAGAGGAGGCTACAACAATTTGACTGGTCAAAATCATCAGGAAAATAACTGGTCGAATCAGAAGAAACCCTGGAACTAAGGCAATCAAAGAGGTGGTGCTACAAGTAAAGGAAGAAGTGGTGGTTGAAAGCCTAACAAAAGTCACATTCAGTGTTTCAAATGTCAGAAGTATGGTCACTATTTTAGTGAGTGTCGAGAAAATAAGAAGAATCAAGAAACTGATGCAAAGCTGGCAAAACATGAAGAAGAAGAGATGTTGCTGATTGTC